CAGCCCTCCTCCTCCTCCTCTCCTCCACATCATCTGCTGGATATATTATACGCCCTTGACAAACTGCCAGTGCACAATCCCCCCCGATGCAAAAGTCTACTGATGAATGCCCAAGTACAGCCGTAGTCTTACCCATACTCTTATCCTTGTATCACCTTTCCTGCTCCCACACCTCACAGAGAAAAGGCAATTCCATAAAAAAACGTAACAAGCATCAGTGGACAGATTTATAAGCAATAATCTACCCTATAATACCCAAGGCACCTGTTTGGCCCCAGTAATAAATCATATTTCAATCCATACTAGGCCATAATATCTTGTGCAGATAATTTTAAGGAAACAACAAGTTAACTTCTGGTTGTCAATGGACTTCACCAAACAAATCATCCGGCTATGGAGAGCAACCTTTTTTGTTTACACGGTGCTTTTCACACCTTAAAAGCACTTTTACGCACAACCAATGGGGAATGTGGGTCAGCTGGAGCTAAATATCTGTAGAGTGTTGGGTGATCCGAGCACAGCCGGACGCTTGTGTCTGAGAGGAGCGTGTTATCAAAAGCAGGGCACCAGCACTTTCCCAAAATCACCCACCATGCATGATCAAGAAGTCATTTCCTACGCATCGCCAAACTACGTCCCACTTTGGGGAATGAAAACAGACTAAACCTGTCACCTCCTTGCTGTCTGCCCGATCACATTAAGTCTACAGCAGGGAACATAACGGGATGACCTACCGAAATGAGATCCTGTGCAGTGTCAGCGTCCGGCTTCCCCTCGTTTCCCTCGTGCCCCTGGCTCGCCTCTCCTTCCAGTCAATCCGCAATGTGCTGAGATCAGATCACAACAGATTGGTGCGCCTTTTCGCTGCGTCCTGCTTCCAGAGTTGCCGGGGATGGAGCGACCATTTGCCGGGATCCTGGGCCGGGGGTGCGAGGCTGAGGCATCCGCAGGGAAGAGGAAAGGGATGTGGAGGAGACAAAGGAGGAAGAGGCGAAGCGCTGGGTGCGAAACGCGAGAAAGAACGAAAGAGAGGAAGAGACGGAGAGAGAGGAGAGCAGCAAAGCACTGCAGCTACGGGGAGGAAACACCGCTGGAGAGGAGGCAGACAGCAGCTCCCTGACTAGCTCCCGCACTCGCTCACGCACATGCGCGCGCGAAACATTGCCATCATATAAGGATACGGAGCGCCATCTTCAGGTGGCTCGTAGTGGTGAGGTTGGGAGTTGTCTCATGCATTTAATGTGTGTTAATGAGCATATTTAAACTGTGATTTATTTTTGACAGGGTGTGTGTCAGTGTACCTCCACGGGAAAACCTTTCTTTTATTAATTGTTCTGACTGACATTTCTCCAAATTCTACATCATAGCAAGTGCTGTGTGCATGTCATTACTTTCGAAGGTCATCCTTGGCAACAATTAGAACACACACAAGCAATAATGTAGGCCTACTTTGACCTTGACCCTTCGTCCTATACCCTCAATAGATCTTTAACCCTTTGCCAAATTCTGGTTTCATCATATAATTAGGCTACCTTATAAGGATGTGATTCAATTCCTATCTGGGAGATTAGTCCACATATGTGTACAGATGTTTCCCCTCAACACCACCGCCACTTACCCCACCCATGTTGTCATACACCGCCCTTTCCCCCCTCTGCACATATTCACAGTCCATGGCAACCAGATCCCTGTTGGGTTCTGATGATGATAATATCACCTGACCTGCCCTCCATCATCTTTCCACCCCTATCCCCTTCAGTTTGCAAACACACGAGCACACACACAAACCTGGTTTCCCAAGGTCAAGAATTGCTGAGTATTTCAGATACGTTGCTATATCATATTCTGCACAGTCAGTTCTGCTGGCTCGGACAGATTGAGGATTTATTTCCTTCTTCCTTTCCTTTTCCTTTTTTTGCGCTCTCCTTTTTCATTTCTTTCACTTTGTTCTCTCTTTGGAGGCATTAAAATGTCTACATCATGTTGAAATATGGCCAATGTGCACACAGTGTCGTTTCTGTCTCCTGTTAATTCTAATTCTTGTCTCTTTTCTTTTTTTAATCAAATAATGTACCCTCAAATGTCGTTATTCTCTATTCTTCACAATAAAAAGTGTAATAAACTGCTGTTCGGAAATGCTTGTTGTACAATTATATGGATAGCGATCAGTTCTTTCTAGAAAACGCAATAATAATATATTGGAATATTTTTGTTTTATTCATCTTTATAAGCGGCACAGCAAAATAGCATATTTACCACCAAACTGTGTTGTGTTGAATAAGATAAGGGGTGGGGATGAAGAGATGCTGCAGAGGTATACACATGAGCTGTGGGACGCTGTGCAAACAAGTAAATACTGGGTATTCAGTGTTCAAATGTGTATGGAAATGGAGTAAAAAAAAGCCACAATACATATAAAAGTAAAAGAAAAACAGCCATGCAACTTTTATACATGTTACACAATAATAAAGACAGTTGGCATTTGCATCCAAAATCCTTTATAATTTATTTCAAACTTTCCCATTCATTTATGTATTTTTAAAGATATTATTATTTTATAGAGTTATATTTGAGTTGAGCCATATTTATGTACCTAGAACTATATTTCTAAGCTACTACAAGGATTGCTTTCAGTGAATATTCCTTAGATAAATAAAGGTTTACAAAAGTTAAAATCAACCATATTTTCTGGCATGGTCATCAGTCACACTTGAACTCAGTAGTTATTGTGTATAACTTTGTTGGTTTTGAAGCTTTACTGTGCAACCTCTATAGCCAAAGCATTGCTGTGTTGAAAACTGACTGCCGGAGAGTCTTGTTAATTACCACTATTCATCTGTCATCTGTTTGGTTTCATTTGTTTACAGCAGGAGGTTTTCACTTCCTGTTTGAAATCGTTCTCTTTTCACTTCTGCACTAATGTCATTATTGAATTGTTTGTTCGCTGCTTTTATCCTGCACATATGGACAAAACAGACACATTATACTACATTATTCCATCATCCCATATTGTAGCATTACAGCCAAAAGTGAATTTGAAAGATACATACTAAAATCTCTTCCATATTGCCAATGCATTTAGAGATTATATTGCATATCTCTGCCTGCTGTTTAGCAGCCTGTTTATAGACTGGGAACTGATTTCTAACAAGCGTTATAAAGGTCAGAGGAAATTAAAAGTCAAGCAAGTGACGTCAATCTGAGCTTTATCAAAGATATATATAGATATATATCTTCTGTGATAACTGATTACAGGATTTTCTTATAACATATTTTAAATCGTACTCTTCTTATCATGCTTCTTCTCTTTTTGTGTACACATGTTTAAAGACTTTCCATTAGATGGTGCCACTGAGCTGAACTACATTTCAATGTTTTTTTCTATTATAAATAGAATATTTAAATCTAAATACCAATTTTCTCCTTGTCCACTTGTTCCTGAAAGATGCCACAACATGACTTCCTGTTTATGTGTCACTATGTACTCCTCGGTATTGAATGTTCACCCACATTGATAAGAGTGAGTACCAAAGGTCGTGCAATGAAAATAGTTTATAATGTAAATAGACCCTCAAAAATATTAGTTTCTTGCTGCAACACATGAAACACAGCTGCGATAAAGCCTGTCCTTAGAGATGTTTTATATAAAGCGTTATATATAATTGCACTCCCTTTGGGCTGCTGCAGTGCTGCATTGGGCAGTCACTGTAACCCTGTAAAGATGTGTGAAATAGATACCATGGAAAATAAGTATTTGAAAGTATGCATATTTAAAGGTTCCACCCTTCGTCTTCCAATTCTATTAATCTCGTTGGACAGATCTTGTCACTGCATACGTTTGGAAATACTGAGAATTAGAAAGAAAAGGAAGCAACTTTACACCACATACATACATGTCAAATCTTTGTGGATATCTATCCCATCACTCCCCATAAGAACATATTGAGCAGCAGATGAACACAGAGTGAGGTCACCGCCAATCCCACGTCAGGGATTGGAAGAACGGAGCACACAGGTGGATGCTGTGGAGGTGGAGGAAGCGAACAAGAAGGCATTCAGCACAGCGGGGAAGAGAAGCCAAAGCGGTAAAGAAAGGGGAGCAACAGCATCAGAGAGCAGCATCATTAGAGTGCAGAGCAGGTAAACACAGAGGTGCATATGGGAAGGCTTATTATGCAGGAGTTTTTGTTCGTGGCAAACATAACTGTGTGTGGCTACGTTTTCTGCCTGAGCATCTCAAATGCTTTATTTAATGAGAAACCACACTGCAAGAGAGAGTATCTGCTGAAGTGTGTTTACAACAAAACCTTAAACTTATTCCAAAACAGTGAGTGAATAAGCCACTCAAGGATTTCCATCATATATTGGATTTTAGCAGCAGAGATTTGCTCCCATTCAGCCATTAGAAGGAGAATTCTTCCTTAAAGCTAGAATCTGTACTAAGATAAAACAGGGAAGTATGAGAAAGTTACAAATTCCTGTTTTTATTTCCTTTTTGATTCACCCCCAAACCGTTGGTTGAATATCCGATTCATAAAATATGTTGCAACTCAGTTCAGAGAAATGATCTAGAAGTCACACCCTCATGTCTGTCTCTCAGTATCTGTGAGAAAGTTGCTTCAGTTCATGGGTGGGTGCACAAAACTAACATTGGGTGCAAAAGTTTAATCGAAGAAATGACAAATAATTCTGGAAAGAATCTGTACCGCTGACAAGAAACTTTTAAATGTACTACTCATGGCTTCATCAATAGCTGTCATTAATGAAAGAAAAAGAAACTCATGAGGTGATCAATATTTTGTTGCAGAAGGCACTGAAAAACTTGTGTAAACAGTCACAAAATGTTCAAATTATAATATTGTCTACTACTTTATTTCTTGGAAACATTTAAACATTTGGAAACAGGATTGTTTAATATTATACATTCAATGATAAGAGTAATGTCACGGCTGGCTAGCTACCTAACAAGGAAGGAAGACACACACAATTGTGGATTTTAACTGATATTTATTTATGAAAGTAAGAATTAAATAATGAATAGGTGATAGCAGTGAGATATAATATTTCTTTCTACTACTCCAGGTGCAGACTTAATGGGTGCTTAATCTCAATGTTTACTCACTTTGAATCGTCCACACATTTGAAATTCCAAAAGGACTTAAGCTGCAGATGTAACATGGATTATAACTGACTCCGCCCTTTGCTGAACTTACCATTGTTTATAAAGGTTTGACGCCTCTTTCAAGAAAAATAAACATCCACCTATTACCGAACACAGCAGAGTGTGTTGCCATTGTGATGGATTGGCTCTCTGAAGCAAGTTTCATATATTGATGGCGTGAAAGGATTCCTGAAAAGTGGAAGAAACAGATTCATCATGGTCAGCATGTTACAGGAAGTATGCATGCTTTGTAGTTAATGAGCTGAAACGAGACAAAACACTAGCGATGTAATGATCCACAACAGAAAAATACAACAAAAATAGACTCAACAATTCCCGCTAATTTCCTCCCAAACTTTCGACCTGTTCAGCAGCTGTCATCGACATCCGCCTCACCACTGGCGTCTTTAAATATTGTTAAAAAAAAATCCTAACCAGATCTTCTTGTCCTCAACAGCTAAATGCCAATCCAGAACAGATACGCTCCGCTGACCGAGAACCGGAGATCTCTTTCTGATGAACTGGATAACCTGTCCTCCTCACACAGCAAGGTAAGGACCAATAGCTACTCCAAAAGTAAAAGGCTAGAGGGAAAGCTAACGACTGGGCCTGAAACTCTGATTGTGGGTGACTCTGCTGTAAGAGATGTAAAAAGTCTGTGTAGTAAGAACAACACCAAAGTACTCTGTTTTCCCAAGGATATGGTCTCTGACTTGGCTGAGAAGATCCTGCATATTGGGGCTGAACATCCAACTGTGAAGAATGTGGTACTGCACATTGGAACAAATGATGTTGTGAAACAACAGTCAGAAGTGCTGAAAAAAGACTTTAAATGTTTGTTGGAAACTGTCAGCTCTCTAAATGCAGAGGTGTTCATCAGTGGCCCTCTACCGCCAGTCAGAAGAGGAGTGGAGAGATTCAGCAGATTGTTTGCACTGAACACATGGCTTTCAACTGCCTGTACTGACCATTCTGTCCATTTTATTGACAATTTTAACTTTTTCTGGGACCGCAGACATCTTTTTAAGGCAAATGGAGTTTGCCTGAACAAGTCAGGAGTGAAATTGTTTATCTCTAACGTATTCAACTGCCTACGTCATCAATCTGTTCCCTCTGCCAAGGACAAGCAACAAGAGGAATCAAAACAAGAGAAAGACACAACACATCGCTCAGAAAACCTTGAAAATCTATCACTGCACCTGCCTGAGGAATGTTCTGATTATGGGAGACCTATGACACAATTGGAGGAGTCTCTACTGCCCGTCACCCCCCCTGTCAACGCCTTTGAGGATACTCTTCATTCTTCCCCCGGCTCTCTCTACTCTCTGCTCTCCCTTTCACCCTCGCCCTCCCCCCTGGAGTTCAATGACCGCATGAAGGCGATACGCAGGGTTGGCAGAATGTCCTTTACCCCCGCCCCTCAACGACGCCCACCAAAATCACAGAAGCAGAGACACGCACCATCTCCCCCGGCTTCATCACGTTGCCTACCACAATCATCCAAACCAAAACAATACAAGGAAGATGGAAGCAGATTTCCAAACCCCCCTTCCTACAGTGTAGACCTCATCCTGCCCTCCTATGATGAGAGGAGCAGGGTGGTGGGTCCTCCCTCCCCTTCAAAGCCTGATAGGGATGTGTGTGTACAAACGCTGCAAATTGATATTTGCTGGGTCCAGGCTCAAGGGCGTATGGCACTGTCAACTTTTTCCAGGACATGCCAGGGCCCTGCCTGCCTGTAGCTTTGCCGATATCTGTGTTGATAGGTAATAGATTAAGAGCAGTGAATCATCTTAGATACAGGAAGCGCTCAAACGTTTGTGTGAGTTTATCAAATTTAGCAGTGATTCCATGTCAGCCACAGCTTGTTACAAAAAACCTGACTGATAGTGTGTTTAACGAACTTAAACTAGCTTTATTAAATGTCAGGTCTTTGGCAGGAAAAACATTTTTAATCAATGATTTTATCACTGAGCACAATCTCGATTTTATGTTTTTAACAGAAACTTGGATTGAACAAAATAACAGTTCAGCTGTTCTTATCGAATCAACCCCTCCCAACTTTAGTTTTATGAGTCAGGAAAGAATGCATAAGAAAGGGGGTGGAGTTGCTATTCTGTTCAATGATTCCCTTCAATGCAGGAAGACATCTTATGGGAACTTTGCATCTTTTGAATATGTGGCCCTTCAGCTGAAATGCTCCTCTCGAGCTCTGTTCCTAAATATCTATAGACCACCCAAATACTGTGCAAGCTTTTTTGATGATTTTACCGAGTTGCTGCCTATAGTGTGTATTGACTTTGACCGTCTAGACATTGTTGGTGATTTTAACATCCATGTTGACAACCCCCAGAACAGAGGGGCTAAAGAACTGTTTTGTGTTCTTGATAGCTATGGACTGACTCAGCATGTGACGGAGCCCACGCACAATAAGGGGCACACTCTGGACTTAATCATCTCAAAGGGTCTGAATATCTCTAAGGTTGTGGTGATTGATGTTGCACTCTCTGACCATTCCTGTGTTTTCTTTGAGAGCTCTATTTCTGTTCACAAAAATGTTCAAAAAGAGGTAACCACAAAGCGATATTTAACTGAAAATACTAGGGAAATGTTAACTCAGAATGTTTCTTCCACACTCGCCCCTGCTAACATCTCAGTAAATGAGCTAGTAGATCATTTTAATTCAAAAATTCAAAATGTTATAGATGCCATTGCTCCAACTAAGGTAAAGGAAGTGTCTGGGAAGAAAATATCTCCATGGAGAAAGGCCATGACCGTGAGAACAGAAAAAAGAGAATGTCGAAAAGCTGAACGCAGGTGGCGAAAAACAAATCTCCAGGTTCACTTTGAAATCTATAAAGAGAGACTTGGCCTTTATAATTTGGAATTGAAAAATGCACAACATTCTTTCTTCTCGGATATCATTGCCAAAAACAAAAACAACGCACGTGCCTTGTTTGCTACCGTCGACAGACTAACTAACCCCCCAGTGTCAGTAGCCTCTGAATTTCTATCCACCAGGGCGTGCAATGATTTTGCCTCCTTCTTCACTGACAAAATTCAGAAAATCAGACAAGCAGTCAGTGCCTCTGCATCAGGTACAGCAAATGTGTTGTCCCTATGTCCACCTAAAATCAATTCAGACACCATGACACAATTCCATCAGATTAATGATAAAAACCTAGAGGACATTATTCAACTTCTGAAATCCTCCTCCTGCTGCCTTGATATTATTCCAGATCTGTTTCCTTGCATGGCCTCAGATCTACTTCATATAGTAAACAAATCTCTTCACTCAGGTATTTTTCCACAGGCCCTGAAAACTGCAGTCATTAAACCGCTCTTAAAAAAGAATAATCTAGATGCTTCAGTAATGAACAATTACAGGCCCATACCAAACCTCCCATTTCTAGATAAAATCATTGAAAACGTTGTTTTTCAACAGTTGAGTAACTTCTTGCATTTAAATAACTGTTTCGATGTGTTCCAGTCAGGCATTCGTCCAAACCACAGCACTGAGACTGCTCTTGTAAAGGTCTTCAATGACATCCACTTAAACACAGACAGTGTCTGTCCCCAGAGTCAGAACTAAACATGGAGAAGCAGCGTTCAGTTGTTATGCTCCAAATATCTGGAACAAACTCCCAGAAATCTGCAGGTCCGCTGCAACTCTTACTACTTTTAAATCCAGGCTGAAGACTTTTCTTTTTGTCACTGCTTTTAATTGAACTATTCACATCTTAAACTGCATTGTAACTTTTATCCATGTATTTTTTCTTTTAATGTTTATTTTATTATCTTTTCTTTTTAATGACTGATTTTAAATGCCATTTTCTTAATGTCTTTCATTTTTTGTAAAGCACTTTGAATTGCCTTGTGTTGAAAGGTGCTATATAAATAAACTTGCCTTGCCTTGGCTAAAGACCTTGTTCAAAAAAACACATTCCACAACTTTATTTAACTGTGCACAGCTGAAGTATTTATGCAGAAATGTAAGTTTGTGTTCTGAGCCTGCCCTGCACAGGGATCAATATCCTGGTAACAAAGGACCATGGGTTAAAATGCAACCTCAGAAACTCTGGAGTGAACTTTGGGGTTTTAGCCTTTGTAGGCCATTTACACAAAAGTTTGTAAAGCCCCTAAAAAGCACAATAGGGCCTCTTTTAATGGTCAACCAGTTTAGAGGCATTCATGTTCAATGCATTTGACAACCTAGAAATACTTTACAACGTTCCTGTCAGTTAATCAAAAATCCTCAGCCATCCAGAGCTTTAAGGTGCTGTAACATTTAACCATGATTTGCAATACTTGTTCCAATATTTGATATGAGCCCTCAACATTACAGAAGGATATAAAACATTTAAAGTAACGGGTAATATGGAGTAAACGTTTGCATCGGCACTTCAATGGTAACCACAAACATTTATATAACAATTTCCGGTAATGTACACATAGTTTGTAAGTGAATCACCACGCACCAAGAAACACCTTTGTTTTACCTTGCGGTTGTCATGGTTACCGTTCCCCTGGTGTGCCGTTCCTGACAACACTGTCATGATCTGATGGATGTGTTTAATTACTGCAGGCTCCGACCCTGAAACACACACACATTCATTTATTTGCACATTTTTAAACAAGCCAGCAGAACACCAATACATGATAATACAGACTGTCTACAAACTGATATTTCTGCAATGTTTTCCATGCAACTATCTGAACTCAATTTAAATACACAGGTAGGAACAGCAACAGTCAATAAGTACAGTCACATAGAAACACTTTCCAAGTTATGAAGCCTCATTCCTGCATGCATTCTTCAAACTAAGGTAAACACAAATAGAGCCAACACATGCTCTCTGCCCTCATTGAAAATGACAGCCTCCGTGTATTGCTTTAGTTATGCAACATTTGATCAAAGAGATAACATCCAATAATATAATACTTTTTCACTTTTCTGTCAACAAATGTGACATATGATTAGTGATTCATTTGCACTGCAACTATGCAGAAAACGTAGTAAGGATCTGTGGCTCACATGTGTACTGATTTATTAAGGTGGGATGCTTTTATACACTGCTTCTGTCAAGAAAATATGCTCTTACTTCTATTACAAACATTTGTTAGTTTTAAAAAAGCGCAGTAGAGCAGTGCATGTTTTACACATTCATGGACTTGGCTAGCAGAACCACAATTGAACCTTCTGAAACAACCAACACTGTATCAGAAACATTATCAGTGCCAGACATTCCTATATATTGAGTCATTACTGCTTAAGCTCTATAGCAATTTGAAGAGTAACAACAAAGAGAAGTAGTGGTCAGTGAGAATAAATCAAAAATAAATCAGTCAATTAGTGGCTGATGATTCCACCTGAGGCCATAGTATGGTCACCTGTGTAGCCACGTGGGAGGGGTTTGCTGAAACAGAGCATTTGAATGAATAAATGGTTCCAATAATTAGTCGAACAGTTTAGAGGATTGTTCTGTGTGTCTGACATGAAAAACTGCCATGAAGTAACACTGCTGTCACGTTGGAACTTCATCGACACGTTTTCCACGTTATTGTGTCAAGATTCCACAGTAAAGTGAAACCTCTGCTGGCGAGGAAGGAAGTAAAATCACATGCTGCTGTTGCGTTACGCAGGACGTGGGGAATGACAGTAAACCCTGCGCTCTAAATCCACTGGAACCACTGGCACCACGGGAGGACCACTGCGGTTGTTTCAGTGTAAAAACCAGACAAACTGAGCATCAATGAAGACACGAGAGAGAGTGTCACTTTCTAAGGTCACTTTCCACTCTGGCCTGCGGTGAGTATGAATGAAGAATGACCAATGGTGAGTAAATAAAGCGAAGGCGCGTAGGTCAACTCAGCTCGCGTAAAGCGCTGACGCACTGAAAAGAAACATACATTTAACACATCAAATTCTACCCGGATGAAAGCCGAAGTTAGGTTCGTGTTAGTGTAAGGATAGTGGAGCACTCTTGTAAAGCTTGTGCCATGTAAAGCAGTGTAGTGAACCGGTATCGAAACTTACCGAAGAGACCTGCATCCGTCCGTCTCCGCTGAGCCTCTGGAGGACTTGCTGTATTGTTGGAGACTTAATGGTTCTACAAACAGGGGAATTCCGTGTTTATAACCTCCCATCGACCAGTCAGAGGGAAACTGAAAGATTTGGATTTACGGGAATTGGCTTCTGGGTTAAAGGAATTGACAATCTCGGGTAGGACTGCTTTAAACTCCACAGAAATCAATGTTTACGTCCAGGAAAAGGTTACAACATGTTTTAATGTAAAAATGATTAATACTAAAATGTAAAGTGGTTGTATATAAAAAAATACACATTTGGGTAAAAAGTTTTAAAGACGTTACATTTGTGAAATAAGGGAATTATACTATTGGATTTTTTAATTGATGATGCATTCACGTACAATGTCACGGTGGGTCAATTTGAACTATTTCCAATGTAGGCCTATGTACAACTGTATTATGTTTGTCTATGTTATGTATTATTCTACAAAGTAAAACACCTATAAAAGTGGGGTACAAAGTGCACTAAGTCAAGTATTCTACCAGTTCCATCACTTAATTAATATGTGCCATCCCTATAGGTTATTGTTTCTCCTCTTAAAATATTAAACTTGGGGATGTTTGGTCCTGCTGTGGGATTGGGAGAGAAATTCTAGTGTTTTTTTTTTAACAAAATGCAATACCACCTAAAATAAAAAAAGAGGTCGGAAAAAGTAAGCTAAGATGCTGCAGGTAAATACAGGGATTAAACAAGGCAAAACAATAAAATAGGTTTTAAAGCATTGTCATGTATTCAAATCTCTCTTATTGTACATTTTATAAAGGGTCTCAGCATAATAGTTTTACTTTGATCATGGAGCCATGTGTGGGAACAAAGCCTTCTAAAATCCGTGGATATCCAATAACCCTTGGTATTTCATTTAAGGGTCAAGTGTGTGGCTTTTTTTTCATTAAAAACTGAATAACATGCAAACATGTTTTGGATAAGTTGTCTGACCTCCCTCTCACCATCAGCCTCTTCTCTGCATCAGTCTGCTTGCTCTTCTGCTTCTACCTCTATCGCTGTCCTGTGACAACAAAAGGACTCCCAAAGAAGTTAAAAACGATTACATCTCCGTGCACCCTGTTATCAACAACGCAGTAAGTAAGACACTACTTCTAATTATAAAACTCTTTTTAAAGTTATGGATCCATCAAACTTTGAATACGTAGATTGACTGAATGGATACTTCTCATGAATTGCACTGATAAATTGAACCCAGGTTACATGCAAAATCCTTCAATGACTTATCTTACGAAATCTAGTCTCTAAGAAGGAAGTGGAAATACTTCATGAAAAGTTAGAGCAGTACTTTAAAAAGCAACACTGGAGATGTGGATCACACAAAAGCAGCTGCAACCTAATATTAGGTATTAGATGTTAACAATTTTGTGTGTCCCATTTGACAGTCAGATTGAACCCTCCCGGCTTCCTTTGTTTTTAAATATTATTAGGGGTATTGGTTGCGAAATTGACATCCAGTCATGCACGGAATCTAAAGCAGAACGAGGAATGAAGCTGGTTTTAACACGTTTCTTCAAAGAAAGAAACACTTACGGGAAAAGAGGACACTTTCTGATACACATCTCCAATTTCTAAGGGACTTTGCTTTTGGAAAACATATTTTGAGTCCTCTATGGGAAGTTTTCTTTGAATAGATAAACTTTAAAACAAATGTGCTTGTGTTTTTGCTATTAAAAGAACACTTACCAACTTCTTCAAAATGACCTGAAAAAGCAATAAAAAACGTTTCACAAACATAATTAATAAAAGCTAAGAGTTAAAACTAGCTGCCCTGTTTTATAACATCTAATATTTACCACTAATGCTTTCATCCTTTTCAAGAATTCGATTATCACAACCTCGCTGCAAAACTCATCCTGCCCAGCACTGAAACACAGGATCCGTGGCTGCACGGTAGAAAACGCGGTGAGAAATAATTATTTTAATGTTTTATTATTTATTTTAGTGAATGAGTAACACTTAAAATATATATTATTTTTTTTAAAAGGTAAAAATAAACCGTTCAATAAATGTTGGGGAAATGTTTGGTGTACATTCAAGTAAAAGTACATTAAAATCAGACCACCAAGAGAGCCGATATCATTCTCATTCAACACAGTTTGTGATAGATTTGATTAAAGGCTGCCCATCATTTTGTTGCTGCACAGTCAGCAGTTATAGTGCAGCTGTTCTCCAGATCAAAGGTTGTTCAACATACAACAAAAAAAGGCTGTGGTCACTGACTGAGGGCGTGCACTGTATGACTCACATTTGGACTCCTCTCCCTCTCTTCTGCAGGATATTGTGAGCACCTTGCACAGCCTAACCTGCAAAATGAAGAATTTAAACATTTCTGACACACAACTTCTGGTCACGACCGTCCTACATTCAGTATGGTGCCCCTGTCATGAGAAACCGGTAAGTCTAGGCATATTTATTTGTATAAAAATGTAAAGATTTGTTAATATAATTTATTTCATAATTCATCTTTAGAAAAGGGGCAGCAGAGGGTGACCTGCTTACATGTTTTCCATTTCTCCATGTGAGTTGTGGCCCTTTAATGTTGGCGGACTGCAGTCGTGTTTCTGTTTGCCACGGAGAACGTGACTCAGTGAAGTTATATAGCCTGTGTGAGTGTATCCAAACATAAACCTATTTGAACCCTAGTACACTCATATATTTGGTGCCAGGCAGAAAGCAGCCATAGCGGAAAATGTGCCTGAAGAATGTTAGGTCACTCTATGCCTCTTTGTGCACCAAAATGAAAAACAGTTATTTGGGGTTTTTTGATTCAACCACTTTTCAGTCTGTGATTTATTTGGAATTTAATTTGCATTTTACTCAAAACACCACCCTCTTTCCCCTTGAAAGAACAATGTTTTGTGAACCTGTACTTCATTTTGAACAGTCTAGGATCAAACTGAATGATTCAAGATCATAGTTTTTGTCTGAGTCATACAGTGGAGCAAACAGTCTAATTCTGCCTCAGGCTTCACCAGATCAGTACAGGTTTCAAATACTGGCTCACAATGTGCCATTGAAGGTTTTGGTTTGAGGTTTGAATGGACATAATGTACTTTGATCAAATCCCATATACGGCAGGAGCAGGATGGTGTTCTGTGGTTAGTCAGTTATCAGAGGTCAGACTTTGATTTTTCCTGGTCAGACCCGTGTATCGTTTTATAAGGGGATACATATGCATCAATAATGTGTGTACTGCATTCTGATAGCGCTTATCACTAAAAGGCACTTGCATAACTGATGTTTATGTCATTGTTTTTGTGTGTTGACATCTATTTACTAGACCAAAGAACCAAGCATGGGGTTAAGGAGGAGAAAGGCAGTGAGAAAAAGAAGAAACAATCCGAAGATTAAAAAACTTTGCAAAGCCGAGGCAATCCTGTCTGCCATGACCAACTGCTACCAGATGCTGAACACTATCCTAGCAGACACCTGAGACCAAAATCAAGCTCAATGTGAAGCAAAACCATGCCATCCATGCCAGTTCTCCTCTCTTGCAGTCCTTCACTGGATTATGCAAGTGGAATCTTCTATCTTATTTAAGCTATCAGTAAATCTCTCTTGCAACTGTTTTGGACGTTGACTACTGACTCTTTTAGATACATTTGCAAGCTACGCTAACACAAGCTATGAAGCCCACTGGAAGTTCCAAGGCAGTCCGACATAATGGATTCTTGCACACTGTGCTGAAGGCCAAGTGTGCATTATTAACCGCCCACTTTTGTGAAGAGTTCACAAGAATGTCTTACAGACTCCATGTTCAATGTACAAAGAAGCTCTTTGAGGTCGGTGGGAGTATTCAAAAAGGAAACTAAAGCTGCAAACAGTTTTTAACCGAATCGATATGACAGTTACTGGCACTCAGTGATGCCAGATCAAGCATGAGCAGGAAATATTAAGTAGTTTTACTTTCACTTTGGCACAGTAACCAGCCCTGACACATCTAATTTAAAGCTCCTTTGTTATTTTTTGTCGGAGTTGTTTTAGGCTGTGTGTCAACTCGTTGGTACTCTCCTTAAAATGACATTGTGTTGATTCATCATTCAGTGTCATTAATCACAGTGTGATTGATATTTTAAAAGCAGTCTGCCACAGATGGCTGATTTCGACACACAAACCTGAAGGTTATGGGATACGTCTAATAAGCTTTCCTGTCGCATAAAGTTGGTGATTTGATGAATGGTGCCTGCCTAATGAATGAAAGAGTCCTATTGGGGCGATACAGTAGTTCGGGGAGCAAAATGCTTAACTGCCACATTTGTTGTTCGACATTATTTTTTAATAGACCATTTGTTGGTTTGCGTTCCAAAAATAATATTGGCAGGCAGCCTTTTCCCCAACAGATATGTTCTTCCTAGGACTAATTAACGTGTAGCTAATTTCTGTTTGTAAAATGTTGCAACTACTTTTGTATATGGCATATGTACTCCAAATATATTTATCTATAAAACAAAGTAAAGGTGTATGTGTAACTTGTTTAATTCTATAGTGTTACAGCAGTAATGTTTTCCCGTCTCTAAAACAGACTCTCACAACTCCCACAGCTGTCTTCATAGACATTTTATTGATGGTGGAAATACATGCCGTCAAGTGCACAACTGTAACCAGGCTAACGATCAGTACAGGAAACACACCTGTCAGACATGTCATTCATGTAACATAATATAATTACGTTTAATGGCTTATTGACAATTGCAACCTTCTTAGTTCTCAAAGGAATTAAAGAGTATCATACTTGGTCACTGTGCCTTTCCCTACCTGTCAATGTGCGGCAATATCAAGGAGAGGGGTCAAAGAGCATTTGACCCTCAATACCTTAATGCACTGAATACTGACTCAAAAGTAGGACATTGTAACTGGAACACAACCCAAGGTTTCATTTCAATCCAAAAACACATTTTAATTCCGTATGACATTAACAAAAAAGATTCAGTCATTCAGTAAAAGCGAAATGGAAAAAGAAAATAAATAAATTGTATAAAATGAGGGGGAATAAAATACTTTTGCTACTTATGTTTAGAGACGTCAGGCGTACAATGCTGATCTAAAGATAGCTGAAACAAGCGGGGCCTGTAAAGTGACCTCCTTTTTGGACAAGGTGATCCAAAATTACAACACACTTACTTTTAGAATAACCACGTTGTTTTCCTCAGTAGTCAATCATATTGCACTTCAATTGGAACAGTTTTTGAGGAAGCGATGACAAATGGGATTAAGGAGTGCATTTCAGATCACGGCTGAATGGGGATAGAGAAACCAGGGAAATAACACCTCCAAATGACTCAGATTACATTTTACAACCTGCCTCTTCAATTTGATCTCTTACTCGTCTGTTCTCTACTTACTCGTGCTTTGTCCTGAAATTACTCCTCTTTATAGGTTGCTAAACCCTTTATAATTGTCCAAAGAGAATCAAATTAAGGTTTATTACCAATTCATACTGAGATTTTTTACAGATATGTTTTGTTCCTCTCAAAAGCTGCTGATATCATGAACCATAACATAACTGTATACAAGTTCAGTTTTAAATCCATCAGCCTACAATCAACTTTATTGTAGATTATGATGATCATACTTTTTTTGGAAAAAGTAAATGTGTACTAATCAGAAATTGAATATATTCAGCAGGACTGATAGATTGAGAATAGAGGAATAGACCAGCAAAATCCATGAAGATATGAAGCAGGTGGAAAAGAAAACACAGCAGCGTTGGACATTCTGCTGATCACACCACATTGCTGTCGTGAAATGACACCCGAGCGTGAAAATACAGACGGATACGTTTTGGTGAAATTCTGATGTTAGTTTGAGTCCCGGTGCATCACCATACGTCTAGTTTCTCCTTCCTCTGACCTGCATCAAATACACATCCTCCTGAGCCCACACTCGCAGCAGAATTTGGCTGATTCAACAGGGTACTTGGTCCCACAGGAACGACAGAACTTGCTCTTCACTCCACCGTTGTCGATTTCGTCACTGCCGTCGTTGTCATTCCTGGGAAATCCAAGAAAGATGACCAAACAGCAAAGTAAGAACAAAGTTCATTCAGCTGTTTTTCATCATGTTAGTGCCGAGCTGCTGATAATGTTGAAAATTATTATCGATATGAGAGCCAGCGATACATGTAAACAAATCCTGCAAATATTTGAGTGTTGTGATAATAGTATAGGTAGGCTTTTTAGTTTTATTATAAAATACTTAAAGGTCCCATGTCATGCTTTTCCGGTTATGACCCGTCCCCTTGTATGTTATGTAGCTTTTTCTGCATGTAAACGATCTGCAGAGTCAGAAACCCTCAAAGTACACCCTGTAGGGAGTAAAACTCTAACACAGAAAAGGCATGTCTATGCTGCCCCAGAACGCCTCGTTGGAGATTTCTCTTTTTCCAATAGCCGCTTTCACACCAAGTACTTTGCCGTACTTAGTGCCGGCACTTAATACCCCAGGGCACTAAGTACCAATCACGTTCACACCGGAGTACTTTTCCCTAAGGGAAGATTACGCAAATGAGCAACTGACGTCACTTCGTCTTCTTCTGCTTTGGGTTTACTGGCAGGCCGCAAAAAACTTCACCGCTTATACTGCCACCTGGAGACCCCGACGGGAAGTCCCCGGAGTTGGGGACTGGCTTCAGTAGAAGCTGCTGGGCCTTCCGAGTAAATTGCCGGAACGCCGACACCTCCTCATCTCTCCACCGCTCCCATGTTTTTTTTTGTGTTGCCATAAGTTATTCTCTTTCCGTTGGTGCGCGGGGCTAATGCTAATAATGCTAATGCCAGCAAATACAATGGCGGCTTCACAAAACTTTTCAGAGTTTTACGGGGCGTGGTTTGCAATTCTCCCAGCCGATAGAAATGTGTACTTTTTTGGTACCACCTCTAGCAGGCACTAAAAGTGGGGGTAAAAGTTCCCGGCACTAAGTACTCTTTTTGGTGTGAACGCGACATAAGGGGTACTAACGGAACTAAACGGAAAAAGTACTCCGGTGTGAACGCGCCTATTGTTTACTTCTTGGGTATAGTGACGTATTTCGGGTATAGTTACGTCGGCGGAGCCGTTACGTTTGGACCAATCCGGACGCAGGCACGCACACACAGGGACGTTGCGAGGCTCGCTGCGGCGAGGAGCGGGACACTGTGAGCTGGCTCACAGGTGTGGGGTCGACGAAACAGCGAGACACCGCGGAACTCAGCATGGGCACACACACAAACTCCCAGCCAGGCTGCGGGTGTATGTGTGTTTGGGGCTGGGTTTCGCTGTGTCTCGCTGTCTTGCAGACGGCCACTGGGCTCACAGGGAGGGGGGGGCAGGAGCGCCAACAAGCCGTTTAGGACAGAGAGTGAATACACATACTATACAGAGATGCTGGCCAAGGAACACAGGGGATAGGTGGATGAGAAACCAATGTGAGTTTGGAAAATTGCCCAATATAAATCTATTCTAGTAGACCTCAACAATGGAATTATGATCAGTAGAAATGGCCATGACATTGACCTTTAAGCTCTATGCAAGCACTAAATGGTGATTTGATATCAAGAATGTAGGGTTATCTTATTAAACAAAAAGCTTAATGGCTTGTAAGCTGCAATGTGCATATGAGGCGCCATTCATGAGAAATCCATTGTATAACACCTGTTACTGAATGGATACACAGCTTTATGCAATACACCAACGAACCACAGGAGGTCAGGATAGTTTATCAAGACTATGGTGGTTGCGTTTTGTTTTTATAAAAATAAACCCTGTTTGTCTCACCTGGATATGAAGTTGTCTACTTTCTTCTTGTTGAGTGCTATTCCAGACTGAGTGTTCCTCGCCGGGCCGTAGCCAGAGCTCACTCCCCGGGTCTTGCTTCCAACACTGAGAAAAAAAAAATAAAGAGACGAAAGAAAACGATGAGTAAAATGCAGACCCCTTGTGTTTTTAAAGACAGATCGAAGTTTAAAATTCAAATGATTAATTAACTCTTCGCGTGTGCGTGTGCGTGTGTGTGTGTGTGTGTGTGTGTGTGTGTGTGTGTGTGTGTTTGTGTGTGTACTGACCCTAACGGAGGGCTTGTCAAGCCTGAGGGATTAGTCCTCAATGAACCTGCAGAAGCGATCTTACTAGAAGAGATCCCTAGAGCAGAAGAGGATGAAAAAAAAATGAGAAAGTCTAACAGAGGCATTTTACTGTACTTATCCTAAGCTGAGTCACTGCGTTAAAATAAATCCCTCACACACATATAGAACTGTCAGATGTGAAACAGCTGTACTCGTACCAGAGGGCTGTCCGATGCCTGACCTCTGGGGTAAACGAGAGGAGGCTGAGGGGATGGAGGACATAGCAGGAGAGGCCACCTTCTTCACCGGAGCTGAAGGCTTGGTCTGAGAGGGAGTAAGGGGAGGCAAAGAGAGAAGAAATGTAACATAAATAATTGCATAAAACGGAACATCAGGGGAAGTGAAGCATCAACATAGTGGCTCTACCTGGAGACACAGTAATAGGGATAGAGAACATAGGTCATCATCACTATACTATAGCCTACAGGCGCTCACTTTCAAATGTGTACAATGGTTTGGCTTTACTTACAGGTGTAACGACATGTTTGAAACTGTTGCAAGGAAAAATATCTGAGACAATTAAAAAAACACTGACTGAGCTTAACGGCATATCCATTACTAGAATATAATAAATGTATCCCACCATGGCCCATTTGGGAACTGTGACATAATGACCAATGATATGAAAACATGCAGAGCTCTTAATCAAAATGGTTTGGACCCTGCTGGTTTTTTTTATTGGCTTTCAGATGAAACCCCCACCCATGTGTTGTAGTTGCTAAGTGACTGGTAATTCTACACCTGCTGCAAATGGGCGTCTCACCATGGTGATAACGGATAAGGAGTTATTAAAGATTCCCAGACAACAGTTCTCACTTAGAAAGATAATTGGCAATTACAAGAAATGAAGAATTGCCTTAGCCAAGTATTTGGGAGAGAGTGTAGCTACCTACACATACAATCATTACAATTACAGGGTAAACACAACTTGTTTCATTATTTTGGAGTGTGTGCAATGTATAATGAATGTTTTTTTGATGTCAACACACTTTTCAGTGCATGTTTCATCAGATTCAAATGAGGAATGAATGGTAAGTGTTTGCACATGTGATCCGGCATCCTCAACATTTTAAAAGAATTCTACCAAATGCAACTATTTTCCAAAGTGTCTATTAGTGCGGGTATAATAAGCGGTGCAGTGTGGGCAGTTGTGTACCGGTGTGCGAGCAGCAGGCTTCTTCACTTCTCCTAACTTGTTGCCCTTGGTAGGCATACGGGCCGCCTGCTCCTGGCAGAACTTCATGTGTCTGTCAGCTGCACCCTCGTTGAACCTCCGCTGACAGAAAGGGCACTGCACATAGTCTAAAGACAAAACAGGGGGTGAGAAAATCGACCTTAACTGCATTAGCTATGTGACAAAAATGTGCCTTTTACTTGTGTTTTTATTTTCTCTGAACTGTAAAAAAAGAAACATTTGGTATTCCACATAATGAGGCAATCCCATTTCCCACTTCTTTCCAAATCTTTGCTCTAATGTGTCAAAAAACATTAATCATGGGCCCTGGAAAGCAGCTGATCGTTCACAAGTTTACACAGTTTCTTAACAGTAACCATAATACAGCTCTAGTTATTACTGTCACTTATGTTTCTTGTTTATTTCCACTCTCTATAAAGCGACATGTTACCTGGGTCATAAGTAGCAGGGGGAGGCGGGGGTAAAGGTCCTCCATCCTTCAAGACCTGATCGATTCCCTTGGCAGCCCGGATGGTAGCGATGAAGTCCTCATGCTTCTTGCGCCAGTTGGACTGCTTCTTCGGGGGTTCTGCCTGACAGGAGGCCACACAGACAAGATGCATCGTTATAGCAGCCATTTAAAAAACCACAACCAGACAGCTATGCCGCTGACATGGGAAACCTCATCTCTGCTATACGGAGTCATTACTTGAAGTGACAGTCACCTGTGTACTCAGTCTCTAGTTACTTTCCATGTTAAACAAATAAAAGCCTTGGTATTCCAATTACTTAGGATTATTTTTAATGAATGCAAATATTCTGTCTGTCATAACCAATTCACTTTATTTCTATTTTGCATTGACATTAAAAGAAAATATTTGTTTTCCCACAGTAGCAGTCTGAGTCTTATCTAAAGCTGATGATTTTTGACAGAAGTAGTTCAGAGAGCGTCCTCTGAGTCGTCTCTGTGACAACATGATATCTCTGCTGACTTCCTGCTTCCTCCTATGCAGTTACAGGCCGTTTCTCAAATCGCGAGGATACTGGCTTGGTAGTCGCATACTTCCAAGGCACTTCCTTCAGAAGCTAGGCAAGAATCCTTCATGGCATTCGGAAAACGAAGAGTGGAAAAGGCTAGCAAGTGTGCAGGTGTGCGTCATATGAGAGGCCCCGCCTTACATTTTCCGCCACAGATTTGGGGAAATTGGTCCGTGCGCAAAGCATTGTGGGGATTTGAAGGATGCAAAGTCTAGCCATGTGGAGCCTCGAAATTACCCCCAAACCAAGGACGCGGCCTCGGTGGAATTCCAAGTATTCTGGAGATTGGAACAGTCCTTCGGCGGCACTCGATGACGTAGTATCCTTGAAATATTGGCTTTGAAGCCAGTTTCCTCGCGATTGAGAAACGGCCACAGTCTTCAATGACGCACGATTGTCTCACAAACAAAGATGACTTTGAGAGAACTGAAGCTACAGTATATTTCCTTTATTCCCTTTAAGCATATTTCTAGTTAATTCTATACGACTCGACTCACTGATTGCCTCCTATTTAAGGACTTCAAAGTGGTAATGATGTACTACTGAGAGAATCACATAACATGATCACTGGGAATATTGATATTCCAGGTGGAGGGCAGAGCAAGTGTGCAGCAGTTAGTTGAAGCGAAAACACCAGAAATATAAGTGTTTTTGAGTTGAAATCTAAATAACTGCAATGCAACAGACTTCACACTGGCCCCAATGAGTGGAGGGCCTTGATGCACTTTCATTTGTTTATGGTCTGTTGTAGATTAGGGTCTTATAAAACAATACTACCGCCAGTATGCGTTGAAATACCTCAAGACTATTTAGGCAAAGTATTGAAAGCGAGAAATCAGTATATACAAAACTTCAGTGATTTAACTTGGCCACTAAAATCCCATGTAAACAGAAAGAAAGGACAAAGAAAATAAAGAAAATCAACTTACTTTTCCTGAAGAAGTTGAACTTTGTGACTGAAATACAATCGAAAGCATCTAAATGTATTCAGGCTTATATTTTGACAACACGGGGAGTTTTCAGACGGATGTACAAGCTAAAGCCATTTTTTGCTAACTAATTCTAATCCGATTGAACTGAGTGGGGATTTTAAAGTTAGATTTTCCATCCCTCTGCTTTGGATTAGTCTTACCTTTGGTTTGATGGGTTTAAGCGTGGGGATGTCTGTTCCCTCAGCTCTCTGTCGACCTGAGTCAAAAACCTTCCTCCTTTTAGCGGCGGACTTCTGGCAGATCTTAGAATGTTTCCCCTGTTGTGAGATTTACAAACACACTATGACTACACAAACTTAATCTGTTTCTAAAAGCTTAAGAAACATTTGCAGACATTTGAAATGTGTACAATTCAAGGATAGCCATTATAACATTAATACAAAACGTTATGAGAGCCAAAACAGCGTGGTTAATAAAGAGGTGTTTTGTATGTACTGTTCTGTATAACTTCTGATAGAGATTCATCTCAAAAGATTGCATCTCACTGTTATACGTAGCACCTTTGAGAAAGCTCCAAATGTAACAACCAGAATTTTTTATGTTTGATTCCTTTGTACATATGGCATTACATAGAAACCGCTATCTACAATTTGTACTCTTGAATTTACATTTGAGAATACATTTGAGCTCATAGAAAGATCATAAGTGAAAGTTTACAATCATTTAGTCTTAACTCTTACACGTTTCCTTCAAAGAAAACTTTGAGTGCTTTGTTTTTTGTTGTTGCTCATACAAAGAGCTCTTCACAGGCTATTTGGGTTGGAGCCAATAACCCATCTAAACAGCGGATATCTTGCTAGCTAGAAAATGTCTTAGTGCATGCATAACACAATACCTTAAGTATTATTTTGTATGCATACTTTTCTAAATGTGCCTGCTCTTAGAACACTGTATCTTCCTTTGGAGTGCTACAGTCAATGGAGATGCATTGAATAGAGCTACATGTCAGCATTCACCCATTCAATCCGGATCTGATCTGAATGCCCAGTCATACACACACAGCCTTAGGGAGAAAGTACATGCAGTCTGGAGGAAAATGAGATTGAACACACTCTACTTCCTGAGCCACTATGGCTTTAAATCTCTTTTAAGAATATTAAAAATGATCATTTCTTACCAGGACTTTAGGGAAGAAACATCTTTTACAGGTGTTGCATTGTATCAGCTCCTCTCCAGAAGGAGCTTCACCATCTGCAACAATAAACACATGTATGTGTGTTACAGTAAAGGAGGATTTATATGCAAAAGAACAGTAATTAACCACAGCCGGCCATATTTGTTTAAGTGATAAAAGGGTCATGTGTAGACAAACATTGGGATTGTTCCATATATTTGATACATGGTAGTTAAATAAATGTCTCACATAAATCATGTTTTGCACACAATGCTATACATCGTTACCTTGGTAGACATAAGTTCATTTTACACGAATTTCTCCATTAACATACAAATGCCAGGGAAAACTAAAATGAAGGTATTTTAGTAGGACAGTAGTTACATTACATGTCGTCAGTATATCAGTGTAACGGTAGTTGCTGCCCAAATTTAGCGTCTTGAATCAATACGAACAAAACGATTTAATTTATGGCAAGTTTGATTAGTTAGCAGCATGCTAACAGTGGATAGCTCCTAATGCTAATGTAGGAATCACATCCTGAGTAGCTAGCTTCATCTTTGGCCCTGTCGTTACCTAGCATTACTTGGGCTAAACCCCACACAAAAAAGGAGGTCGTTGACAAAAACGGGTTAACTAAAGCCAAAAGGAACCCGCCCATGTGTGAGGACAAAGACCGTGAGGTTGTGAGTCCGACTTAGCCACAAAACAGATCAAATAAACACATTAGAGAGTTATTTCTCTCACCTTCAAATTCTTCCATCATTAGGTTATGCTGTCTGATGCTTCTGTTGTTACAAACGATCAAAAGCAGCCAGTTGAAGGGAGAGAATTCCCCACTGCCTACTTCCGGCTTCGCTAAAATAGGGAGGGTAGACTCCTAAATTGGTGAAATAACATAAATTCATGCAAGAAAAATGTACTTTGCAGAAATACAGAATGCAGATTTAAATATATGGTCTTTTTGGAAGCTTTACATTTTGCTTTGAAGGTTTCTTTTGTAGGCAATGTGGTTATGTCTTATATTTAGCAGAAAGGTTACTAGGATTTCCTCATGATATCTTCTTTAATGTATGTATATTTGAGTTGCATGCGTATACGTTATATTTTTACATAATCCCTTATTCATATTCATTTTTCAGGATTCAGTAGGCTCTTACATATGTTACTTTATAATTTAGGTCAAATTAACAGACACTAGATTTCGTATGTTTGGGATGAGGATGAACTATCTTGACATTACTGATCTTTGGCTACCAATAGCAACTCATTTGTCTTCATTTGCCAACATCCGACCATTTCATTGGTTGTTACTACACGGCACTTCAAACAGCGATGGGTGTGGAAGGCAGCCATAGATGTATTACGGAGGAAACCGCTGTTCTTCTTTTTCTACATCCATGCTGTTCTCCTGTTCCCATCATCATACTTCCCAAATAATGCATTTAAATAAACCAAGTTTGCAATTTTGTTGACATAAGAAACCCTTCCTCATTTTACTTATAGTATTGCAAGGTTCGAACAATAATATAAGCTAACAGTGTAATGAATAGACTTATTTGGAAATATGTTAATTAAATATTTTCGTAATGAAACAGACAAATATAAATCTACCTGATATGGAAGTATTACGCAAATTGTTATACATGTTTGCTACACACCAATACAATGTGGTCTATAAAATAAGGCCAATTGGTATTTTTGTATATTTTATATTTTAACCTTGTCCTGTGACAGACCTAATTTGAAGATAACGGTGATCATATCTCCTTAAACAATAAAACTAACTCTTGTGGCTTCTTTTTGGCTCGAAAACTTTCCCAGAGGACTCGGAAGTTCCCAGTTTGGCATATTGAGCACATGTGTCATCTGAATGGAGCAATTCACAGCCAGATGCTATGAGACCACAGTCAAAGTGTTACTTAAACCCTTTCTGCTTTCATCATAACACGATCACTGTTTTCAAACACTGACTAGTCTGTGCATCCCTCTCTCACACACACACAATAACTGCCTTGTTCATCTGTCATCTGACCTTTTCACTTTCATTAACAATTGTTTGGTTAGTGACAATCCGGGGTTCAGCTGAATAAACAAAAATAGCCTTCTAACTCAGCCTAGGTCCTTTGTTCAACCAGTAAATTGCAAAGTGTTGAACATATGCATAAGTAATAACCAATAGTAAATAATCAAAAACAGTAATACCCTAGGTGCTGCAAAAAGTTGTTTTCAAGCCCTGACTTTTAAATACTATTTTACTCCTGGTTGCACATGGTTAAAAAAACAAGGGTTTTATTTTGAAATCTTATCCGGAAGCAGTTGTATTCTGGCATTTATTTGACGTTGGTAAATCCTCTTTCACTGAACATGGGGAATACCGGAGTGGCATAACAATTGATGTGATTGACCCTTGCGAATATTGGGAAGCCTTTTAACCCAAACAGGTACACTGCAGATAATAATATTAATAATAAGGATTATATTTTTTAGGAACAGAGTGTGCATGCCTGGCATCGTAATTTAATGTGAACTTAATATGCATGATGCGTTTGCTGGCACTGGCAGAGCTCTATGGGAGTCTTTGTCATCAGGGAAAGACATATGGCTGTGGATGTATAATGGAACATGTCGATCTTCCTGCACCATTCATGTTTTTATGCAAAGGTTATGTTTCACTGTGTCAACAATACAATAATTTATTGGAAAACCCAATTACGCACGACCACAGGCTATCCTATTTAGCCCATAATAGATGATAAACATGTGCAGACATTAATTATTTTTAAACCATAGTAAAATAAAGTTTTTCAATGGTCTAATGACATTACGTGGCAAGGGCTCGTGGCAAGGGCATTTAATATATTAACCACTAATCCTATATAATGCTGGGGAAATAACTCATGTTTTATATATTGTATTCAGATATTGGTGATACTAAGCTATAGTGAGGATTACAATTAGTAAATGTCTCTGAATGACATATACTAATGACTTTGTATATGTTTGTGTGTGAGGGACAGTGTTGGGCATCATTCCAAGTTATGCCCAAGTCAACCAAATTAACACTTATATAAATTAGTGGGGACTCAATTCCCTACTCCCCTCCCCACATAATTTTCTGTTTGGCAGAACAACTTGGTTGAAGAGCAGGACAGGTTTTTTTTGCTTTTGAGCTTTTACCAAGAGGACAGAGCATGCTGACCTCCTGCATTATTCAGTAACATTTGTTTGGAGAATGTATTGTTCAGGCTCTCAATTGGGAGCAAAGTTCTAAGGACAACCTGATAAGAATGACTCACACGCAGACCTTGTTACTTCATGGGTGCAACAGCATGATTAAATGATGTAAACTGTAGATTAATATTTCATAGAATATAACCAAAGGAAACACAGGCCAAGAATGTGCTGCCACTTTTAGCTTCAAATAGTACTACTACTTCAGTTCAAATATCTACATTACAGGCAGTACACTAACAGATGGCCTATACAATTAGTAATGATGATATTTATCAAATATATTTTTTTCTGTCGACATATTTTGTATTTCAACATTAAGCTTTGTGTTCTGAAGCTATTGATAAGTATGTTGCATCTTGGTTGCTTAGTTGATTGTGTCTAAGACTTTGAGACTTTTAATCAATTTCATTATACGTAGATTGTTCTTAAAGGTGAGGTTATATAAAGTCTTTATCTTGTGGATCTTCTTGCGAAATCCCGCAATCCATTATCATCACTCTCAGTTCAAACGTTTGCCTTTAAGATAAAACACTAATTGAGTTCTTATATTGGAGAACAGGCATGCTGTGTCTCTTGCTTCAACATGTTGAGGCTGACAGTTGTACACGAACAACATCTGTTGGTTCTTTGCAGTCTTGACCCCATTTTGGGAATGACAGCCGGGTGGGAGCGTGCTCAGATGATGACATAGGAGGTTTCCAAAAATAGCCACGGTCAATAGCAGTCTGCTCAGCTCTGGAAATAGCCACAAATGGATGTGGTAGCTGAGGTCATTTAAAAAAAAAAATCAAACAACCCTTTGTATGTCCAAGGGGATACAAAGTGCAGAAAATAATGCTTTTATTTGAAGTTTTATTAGTGCATATGTTGAGAAATGAATGGTAAAAACTCAGACTGACACATTTTAATGAGTGAAAATGGAGGGAAGCTGAAGGCCAGCTTCCCACAGGCAGATTGATGTAGATTGTAATAATGTCAACAGAGGGGTTTAACCTAAATCTCTGCAGCAACACAGCTCCCATCATGCACCATGCCTACTACAAGCGGAATGACATTTGAATACAGTCCTCTCCTCCCTTGTGCCATAATTACCCCTTTAATTGTGTATTTTTGGAAAAGCACCATCATTTGTTGTTCCATTCCATCTGCAGAATGTATGTCCTCTGTGTATTTGGTGTTGCTTCACTCATATTAGAATAGGTTAATCAGGGTTGTGGTCATAAAATAGTAGGGGGGGGGGGTTTTCACTGAGTGCATCGGTAATCCCCTGTGCCACTTTCTTCATGTCAACAAAAAAAGATAATGCTTGTATTGTGCAGACTGCCCTGCACAGATTCTCAACATTTCAGTCGTCTTCCTCAAATGTAACATAAATCAATGTGTGTGTGTCATTTGTACCTGCCAGGCCCTGCTATGGTGAGGGGTGTTAGCGATGACGGATGAGGAGGCGAGTTATGATGACTTCATCGCCTCTCGACGAACTGGCCGCAGGAACGCCATCCATATTATCCCAGCAACCTCTGGGGCTGAGGGCCCCGCTGACCTGTCACAGAGTCTGGCACAGCTCAACATCGACAAGTCAGGTGAGAAACATCCCTGTGGGGGATCTGAGGGGAATAAAGGAAGTGGAGAGGTATGTGTAGGGAGGGAGTGATGAGGGAATGAGATGCAGGTGAGGGGAAGCAGGTGTGTCGATGGGTTCATGGTGGATATATGAACATTAGCAATGAAGGGGCCTTGAGATGTATGACATATGTTAGCATAGGCCACGTTTCAAAATTAAATAGGTTTTTAAAAAGTGTTTTAATTGCATCTATCAAGTGTATGCAGCGTCAGTATTCTACCACAAGGGGGTGACACATCCTGAGACATAATATCTGTACATAATGGCTTTATAATGGCTATTTATTGCAATGCGTGGTACTGTAACATTACAAATAAATGTTCTCATTCACCACCAAGGGAGAAACATCATAGTAAAAATGAAACTCCCTCTACTCTAACATATGTTTGTATTAGTGTTGCTTCACTTAGAGGTTTGACCTTCACAATTTGTGAAATTACACCTAATTTGGAAGCATATTGTTTAAATGTATCATCTAGAAAAGGTGGCGCCTCCAAAAAACATTTAAAATTCCCTTTTCATATAACCTTAAAGTAACTGTCCCTCTTTGTCCTTCTGTTAGGTGATGAGGGAGAAAAGAATAAGGACAGCCAGGACTCTGCAGCTAAAGAAGAGGAGGCGAAAGCTGAGGGCAGCTAAACTCACATTCATGGACTCAAACCACCGCCACTTTTCGTTTACCTGATCCCTGAAGGCTAGGCCTCTCATTGGCTGGTTGTATCTAATGACTTTGAACAAACAAGGCAAAATCCTACTGCCACCATCCCACAATCAGGAAGTCATTGCTATGGCAACCACAGCTCCATTGAGCAGTTGGGTGTGTTCCAGTTTCATTAAAAAGATTTAAAATCTCAGATACAACTGATTCAATTTGAAATATGTGTATGTAAGTCCAAATCAGGACAAAAGTCAGTCCAAGTCAGGACAAAACACAGGACATCACTGTAGATGAAGAAGTCTTCAGCCTTGTAGTGTGTGATGCAATAGATGCAGGAGTTAGCTTATTAAAAACCGGGTGTTAAGTTTTTATACGTACAGAATGTGTCCATATAATGTGATTTACAAGTTTAAACGCTACCATTGAGCATTTTTAAAAGGGGTAGTCTGTCTGTCTTTACAATTGGACTTTGTTTAGGGTAGATATAGAGATCAAGAATTTATTTGCAGCTTGAACAAAAGAACATTGATTGCACTCCAATACATGTGTGTGTGTTTTTATAATGTAGCATATAACTGTTTATTGGATGTATGAATTTCCCCGGTTTATGGGAGTTTTTTTTTAGAATGCTTAAATCCGTGATTCGACAGACTACCTATGAATTTTACATTTACCAACCTTCCTTTTAAACCACCCCTCAATACTATAATAGAACAATACACTGCCTTTTTCTGATTATCACATCTGTGGAAATGCACTCCGAGAATGTCTGTCTTCATTACCTTTTTAAAAACAGAAGTCATTACTTGTTTGTCTTAGTCTCTTTACGACATCAACTTATAAGAAAAGAAATGACTTGTTGAAGGAGGATTGGGCATTTTTTTACTTTTGTTAATGAACAGTATTTTGCAGTGTAGTGATCATGTTGTATTTTCTTTAATGCTCGTTCAGGGGGTTATGGTATGGCATTGTCAAAGACATTTCTGTACAATGTTGCACATTTGTCCACTAAATTAGTTTTGATATGCCATTAAATGTTACCGGTGGAAACATAAATAGTGTCCAGGTGTATTTTTGAATGTTGTCCCAGCTAAGAATAAAAGGAGAAACATGGGTATTGTTGCTCTCTAGTGGTCAACCTTAGACCTACAACCCAGACACAGAAAAGCAACCTACTTTTTTTGTCATCTTTCATCTTAATAGTTACAGCTTACTTTGATTAGATGACCAGGTTAGAGTTGTCATGATACTAGCTGATTGTGAATCTATTTTCTCAGGGGCTTTGCAAACACATGATAACATGAACAGACCAAGATAACCTGTGATTTCTCACTTTCACCATGTGTCTGTAAACCTAGGAGTGTAACTGTAGAATGAAAGCACATCTCTTAACTTGTAGAACAGAGCCTTTTTTATTAAAAAATGATGAGCAATAGTACAATGATTGTCAAAGCAGTGCAATAGAGTAATATGAACTACATAATAAAAAGTGATAGGGCCTATGTACAAGCTTAAATGGCATTTTGATTGACACACTATTAGGAAATCCACACCTTTTAAAATAAACATACCAATAGGAACTTTGTTTTGATACAACCCCTATAATCTTACATAGATGAGTTAGTCCATGAAAGCATCTTCGTCAAGCTTTTGTCTGGAAGCATTATTCATCAGAGTGAGTTTCAGTGTTCAAACCGATCGCTGTGCCATGCAGCACAGTTTAACTGACTAATTTCCTTGCGGGATGAAAAAGCCATGCATATCCTTTGGGAGCTTAGCGTCCACATATGCTCGAGCTACCTCTTTAAATGTTTTGCCATCCAGAAACAGGATGAAACACAACTGGCCTGGGTTGCTGTTGATGACTGACACCAACACCACACCTGCAATTTAAAAAAGGTAGAGAATACTGTTAGAATGAAAATCTAAGGAATCAAATGACGGCAGTTTTCCAAATGTACTTTTTCTTGACAAAAAAAGAAAATCCTTGTAAATGCACATCACATAGTGTATATTACCATCGTCCTCTGACTCTGCATTTGGGCTGGGGATGAACACCGGCTCTGAAGGCAGGCAGTTCTCCTCGCTCCAGAAAATCCTCTCCTTGGTCTTTGTGTCAAACTTCGCAATCTACAGGAAATGGATAAGTTGTGAAGAAAATCATTAAAACATGCTGTAAAAACAGTTCACGACAAATCAATACAAAACAGCACTGATAACTCCTTCAGAAAGGTTGTAAACAGCAATTATTTGCAGTTTAAATCATAAAAAAACACAACCAAAAAACACAGTTCGGAGCTAGGTTGAAAGGGAAATCACAAATGTTTATAAGCGGATACTTAAAAAGCCTGTTAATGTTAATGATATTACTATTTCTTTAATCATTTAATATTCTTTTGCAAAATGACAGTCGGCCACTGGCCACTTAATTAAGAAAACCAGGGGCACAGGTCAGGCTTTGGGTGGGTTAGTTAAACACACTTTTTTTTTTAAAGGATTATTTATATTAGGAGATATTCCCTTCGTGAATCAATTTATATCATTGTGTTTTAGAAAAACACATTTGGCTCACGTCCCATCCGTTGTGTATCACTGCCTTACATCCAGAAAAGCGGTCATAAAGAGCTAATCTTTTAGACAAGCAGCATGTACTTTGCCCCAACTCCACGCCATATACGTGCAATATAGTTATTCATTTGTAAACTAGACCTTCTTAGTACTGCAAATATAAATCAATTATTTCCTAGTATCAGCTGAGCTTTCACACCTGCAGGCCTTTTGGGCTAACTGTGGGAGGAAACCGCAGCATTTGCAGGGAGAAAAAACTCATACTATGATTAAGACTACTCCACACTTAGAGACAGGCTGGTTTGATATCAGAAACTTTCAAACCCCTGTTTCCTTAATGCAAAAATACAATAAAAATCTTATTTGGGTGATCATTGAATTGTTGCTGTGCAATGTTGTAACTAAAACACAATCGAGCATCTCTGTGAAATCATTATAGCAATGCTTGATTGAGTCAGTAAATATGCACCTTTGCTTGATTTAAAAATAATGTGTATCATATGTCAGCACTTCTCATTCCTGATTGATGCAATCCAAAAAGAGAAGTATGAGCTATGGTCATCTGCTGAGTTTATTCATGAAAAGTCAGCAAAATGATTGTGTTTATCAGCTTGTACTGGGGCCCAGACACTGAGCAGATATAGCATTAAGTAAGCATTAAGCATTTTTACTATCATGTTGTCCTTGCAGATTAGTCTGGATGTATGACTGGTAATTGGTTGAGCCAGATAATCTGTAGATATCCCACAACGTAGACTTCACCCAACTTTTACATTCAGCTGGCAGTGGAAGAGATCCCATTAATGTATAATGCTGTTGAAATAAGGTTTTATGATGCTGACAAGGTCGTTAAATATATAAAGGCTCAATGGAAATGATTGCTTCCCTGTTTGCGTATGTAATGTTGTTATTATTTTACTAAGATCACCCTACTTGACCTCTCAAATGAGCCATACTTATTTCCCCCCCAAAAAAGAGGTTCCCTATTTTGCTATATCTTTCCCTCACCATTTAAAACTGCTTTTGTTTTTCCTGATTTTTATTCCATATTACAAACGTCAGTATATTCAAAGAAAAGCCCAAACTCTCTTATGTTGTTGGTATTATGTGTCAAGTGGGAATAAACAAAGAATGTCTAATTGTCAGACACAGGATGTGTTTATTGTTCCTTCCGCTTGTTCCTCCACTAAAATGTGGAGTCAGGCGTGCGGTGACACGCAAGGGAAGCTTTGTTACTCAATACTTCAAAGCCTCACTGAGTTTGTTCCTGCTTCTCATTGTTTCTGGTACCTTCATGTACAAGAGTATCAAATTGTAAAATATGTTTGGGTATTAGAGCCAGAGCCATAAAGTGGTTGGGTCATTGTTTTTGTCACATGAACAAGTCTCCTGATGTGCCAACTGCATATTCTCATTTCTGCAATTTGCTTCCTAACGCTGCAAAAACAATTCTGCCAGACATAATGTGTTTCCCAATATCCCAGCCTTTAAAATCTTAGTTTCTATGAGAGTCTGCAAGTTATGGGTCTCTCTTGGTACATAACAATTATGGGACTGTGAGAAATCCCAAAGATGGATACAAATAAAAACAAAATGTTTTACCTCTTTAGCCAGCGCCGACTCCTCCACACAGTTCCCGTAGACAAACCGGTGCTTCTTGCCGTTGAAATCATAATTAATTCTTGGCAATTCAAAGCCTGATGGGAAATGTTGTATTTATATGAGCAAATGCATTTCTTTTAAAGAACAAATGAGCAATAATGACTTAATTTAGTTTTTTTTTTGACTGATGTACCTTTGCAGAACACTTCTGCCTGGCACATTAGTTTGCCTTCCTTCTCCTTCACAGCACTGGCAGTTGTGTACTTGAGTTTCACCAGGTCCTCTCCAACTGCCACACCCTACAAACACAGGATAATCCAGGGTTGCAGAAAATCTTCTCAAAATGTCAGGATGCAGTCAATTTGATACCTTTGTTTCCGCACCTTGTCTGAGTGGACGGGAAGTACAAATCGCTTGTAGCTTGGTTTGGAGTAGCTCTCATCTTGGAACCCTTCCTTCAGTTTGCTCAGGTAGAACATGTCGTAAAGGCTGGTGTCACTGTAGGCGATCACATCGAAAATCACGTGACCGTCGTCCTCAAAAGCATTCACATGATGGTAGACCACCATCGCTCCGGTGTAGTACTTCGTCTGGAGTAATTTGCAAGTCTTTCTGTCTATCAGATGGATGAGAGTCTGTGGAAGAAAGAAACATTTAGAAAGACAGTCACAGGTCTACTTGCCAGCAGTATGAACCAGGAAATGTTGAGTACATAAAGTTTTATGATAGAAATGTATAGTACGGGTCCCAAGCACAAAAAAACGCCGGATGCTAACTTGCATACATTTGACAATTTGCACAGTTGGCATAAGTTGCATTAATTAGCAAATGCAGACAATTGCAAAAAAATTGCTTGGCCAATCTTTGGACAATTTTGGAGGAATATTGAGGATGTTGAATCCATTTGACATTTTTAGTATAAACAAAAGGCAGGGTTGAGTCCCATAAAGCTTTAAATTCAACCCAAAATCAAACAAAATCAGCTAACCGGGTACACATATACTCAACATTTCTGGGTTTCACAGGACCAAAAAGAACTATACACAGATCACAGGGACCCCTTACACTCTCGTCAGGGCAGAACTTCAGGCAGCTGGCCCAGTTGACCCCCCTCATGTACGCAGTGGCCATCTTGAGGATGTCCAGTTTAAACGGCTGCTCGATGAAGATGAAGTAGTTGTCCGTCATGCCGAAGCTGTGGTAGTAGCTGGGAGCGAGCAGGGAGCGGCAGGGGACCGTGCAGACCACCTCGGAGCTCTTCAGAGCGGGGGCCCACTTCTCTGAAGAGTTCTTGTCTGAAGTTAGGGGCAAAAGAGTCATTCGTTGCCCTGTCTGCCCTGATTTTTATTCTGTAGCACTTTGAGTTGTGTTTATTCAAATGAAATAAACAGGGGAAAAAAGTATTATTATTATTAAATAACTATGAGCATGTACTTGTAGAAGAACTATGTATATGCAAAATAGAACACATAAAACAGCAGGTAAAATGAAATTTGTAGTTGCAAAAAAAATATTAAAATGCAGAGGAACTGCAGACACGGAAGCCATCCTACATTTGTTTGCATGTGTGAAATGAGAATTTCAATTCAATGCAGAAACCAATAGCCCAACACATTTTACAATGGCTGTTCTTAA